CTATGTAAACTCATAATCTGATATTCTTCCACTAAATTTACGACAGCAAGTACTCAATAGTCAATATGCAAGACTACAATACCTAACAATCTTGTCTATAACTAAACAAAGAAAACTCAATCTCTAACATTCTTCCATAATCGAAAAACAAAAAGAATTAGAATCAATATGACACAGAATAATCAACATCCAAGATTATCCAATAGAATAGCTGCAAAAAGAGTTGAGGAAGCAAAAAATATCTCTGCAAAGTAACGGCGCTCTCGTGGAGCATCCAATATCTAAGAATTTTGCTTTCCAAGCTCCTCTTGCGACAAACTTTGCGCACCATTACCATATTGATTGTAGCGTAGCTAATCTATTATCCCATGACCTACAATCATGTTATCACGGTATTTGTCAGGGAGGATGATTACTACATTGTCCAGTGTAAAATTCAAAGTCGAGTTGTTGTGACGAGTATGCTAAAATCAAAGAGCAACTTAGGGAGGCGGGACCCGCTGAGGAAGGCAAGGAGATCAACAAAAGAAAGGTAGCATGGGATGACATGATAATGAAGTAGTGTGGGGTTTAGATGACCAATGTCTTCGAGATGAAATAAAGGGAAGACAGTGGGCTTTGGAGGAGATTGGGGCAAAGAGTGAATGAGGCCCACCCGATTGTTGATGTCGAGAGCACCAGCTATGTCTTCAGTGACATTGTGAAATTGAGCAGTGAAAGTATTTATTATCGTCTCAATCATGTTAAACAGTTGACGGCTGACAACTGCAAGATTTGGTTTATGGAGTTCACTGTAGGGTAAAGGGGTCGAGGTGGTGGGATTTGGGGAGAACTAAGGGACTGAGGTGGTGGGACTTGGGGAGAGTAGAGGGAAAGGTCAAGGGGGCAAGGTGGTAGGATTTGGGGAGAGTTGAGGGGCTGAGGTAGTGGAACTTGGGGAGAGAGTACATGGAAAGCTAAAAGGGCCGAGCTGCTGACATTTGGGAAGAAAAGAAACGAGAGGAGGAGAAGGGGGATGGCTATGGTTCAAAGAAAAAAAAATCTTAAGGGAGAGAGTTTGGAAGTAAAAGAAAACCTAAGTGGTTTAAGGGTGAGAAAAGGGGGAAGAAGCAAAAAACAATTAAAGAAATCAAGGCACGTCATATATGTACAGGTTTAACCAAGTTAAGAAACAATAAAATATAAATTAAAAAAAAAAAAGTTAGAGTTGTTGAAGGACTAATTACATTACATTACAGACTCCTATTTCTAATGGAATGTTGACTCCTATTCAATTGAACAATGTTACCTTTCTTCATTTAGGGTATGTTTTTAACAAAATATCATTTAAATATTTAAATTTTTTTAAATTTGAATAAAGACATTGCCATGCTTTTTCTTTATTATAATTTATATTATCGTTGTATGTGTTTTTTTTTTTTATTCACGGTTGACTGCCCATCAATATTTCGCATAAAGGAAGGTGATGACTTGGGGCCACCTTAGAGAGCTTCTTAGCCGCCCAACCCTGCTCCTTCACCCCCAAGTTCTAAATGAGCCTAACAAAATATCTCAAAGAAGAACTAACAAACTAAAATAACCCAAGTCAATAAAAGCCACAATACAAAGGGTGCACTTCTATTTCTACATTAGAATTACCAACACCATCAGAGGTATAGCATAGAAAGAATTGGAAAGGTCACTTCTAGTCTCGACCAAGCACCACATACTCCAAGAGGCTTTGTTGGAACTTTACAGTTCACATGCAACTTGTCTTAGAATTCAAAAGTCTGAACTTTAAATAGTCCATAACTGAATGAATCAAGCTACTGAAACCCTAGAAACCAAGGGAAAAGCCAATAATGCGATTTCTACCAATTCTCAAGAAGGAAACAAGACGTTGGAACTTTTAGCTACTCTGCCACCTCCAATTCTGATTTCACAGTGAAAATGAAGACAACAAGTGCAAGAACCCCATGACCTTCCAGTTGAATGGAACATTTTCTCAAAAAAGATTGCACCAAACCCTAGAAATAATTCAACATAAAAAAAAAATGTGAATCATACACATTTCAGTGAAAATTCAGCTCCAAAAACCATCAAAATGGAACCCAATAGAACTTCAATTTAGAGAATGAGGGACAGTTGATTGAAGCCTCAAACGAAAAGAATTGGTTTCCAATGTTTGGGATTGAGCTATAATATTGAGAAGAATGGCTTTGAGTGTTTGAAGGAGAGAGAAGGGTGGGATTTCTAATGGGTCTGTAATTTAAAGATGGAAAGGATCCCCAAGTACTAGTAGGGGACAACAGCATAACATTAGATTTTTAGAGAGAGAATGATTTACTTTGCATTTTAAATGTTGTTTTTAATGAGTTGAATTCTTGGAGATTCAGATATTCGCGGGTATTTTGGGGGGTATTTTTTTTTTTCAGTGCGGATGACGAGCCCCTACATGTTTTTTAAATCATTAGTGATTTTTTAATGCGTTAGGTGATAATGAAAGCGTAAATCTTAGCTGGGGTACAAGTAGTGCTACCACCAGGACCCCAACCCCATTCTCAAAAAATTGGTAAGTCATCTGGGATTATTTGAATAGTAAAATATATAGTTTGATATTGTCAAACATGGCACATAAATTAATATCATTAGAATTATAATTTATTGTACATTATTTTAAAATATTAAATTATTAGTGCGCTATCAAACAAACCTTTAAATTTCAAGCTTGGTACTTATTAACGAATAAGAGAGAAGAGTCTAACTTTGAAATTCCAAATTTGGTCAATACCTTAACAAAAAAGAGAGGAGATTAACTTTCAAATTTGGCGAGCCATCTATCCTACTTGCCTCCAAATTAATACATAGTAAGTACTCTCTCTTTCTAAATTTAGCTTCAGCTTTATTCATTAATGCTTTATCTTTTTGTTTTTTTCTTCTTCTTTTTTTCATCTATTTGGTCTATAATTAGGGTTTATTTATTTCTCATATTCTTGATTGCCATTGTTCCCATGTCTCATGCTTTTTTTACAAAAATTGGGATGCTATTAGTTTTGTTGTTATGTATATGATATTATTAAGCCAGATTAAGGGCTAGATACGTGTCATTGGGACCCTATTGCTTATTGCTAAACTATAAAGATTGTAGGATAGGTAACTTTATAAACAATCCATTTTAAATTTGGTATTTTCCTCATTTTTAGGCACCTTAAAACTTCTACAAAGGCCTTAGGAATACTTGGTGAAACCCTTGAGACTATATTGTCCTAGAAATAGCCTGAACCACCAACCTTGTGGTCTATAGTCCCTAAACTATGGTTCCTTATTCCATAGGATCACCTTAAAAATTGAAAATAAATAAATTTTAGAGATAAGGTAATGTTTTAAATTCGCAAGTGGGATAATAATCATCCAAAATCGCAAGCAATATCACGAGAATTGAAATATCAAGATTCTTGCCATCTTTGACCCAGACAACACGATTCGTGTCGTCTAGGTGGATTTGAC